TCGCAGTCTTAGTGTCGCCAACTCGTTTCTAACATGCAAAAAGACAAACAAATGTGTCTATGATGTATTTTTGATCAGACGAGATCTCTCTCCCCCGTCTGTGTGGGAGGGGGCGGGGCAGCTTACACACACACACTGCTACATGCAGCAACACACACACACACCGCGGAGATGGCGGAGAGAACGCGCTCCGAGGTGTGGTTAAACTTTACCCGTCTCGATGTGGACGATGGTCGTTACCAAAAGTGCAATAAGAGTTTAGCATGTAAGGGCGGAANACAAATACGTCTATGATGTATTTTTGATCAGTCTGTGTGGGAGGGGGCGGCAGTGTGTGTGTGTGTTGCTGCATGTAGCAGTGTGTGTGTGTAAGCTGCCCCGCCCCCTCCCACACAGACTGATCAAAAATACATCATAGACGTATTTGTTTGTCTTTTTGCATGTTAGAAACGAGTTAGCGACACTAAGACTGCGATATAATGTTTTTGTAGCAATAATACATGACATATATTTTTTAAATGTCTCCAGTACCGATAAAAAGGCCGATAACGTTGGAGCTTAACGGGGCGTTAAAACACACGTGATGACGTCACCAACGAATCGACGACTGAATTAGTTGGCAACCAATTTGGTCATCGACTTTAATCGATTAAGTCGATTAGTTGTTGCACCCCTACTTATAATGAGGCCGTGAGAATACTGCTGAAGAGACCTCGATGGTCTACGGCAAGTGAAATGTTTGTGGCTGCAGGAGTCAATACTCTACAAGCTGTCTTTAGAGATCTCATGTATGAATGTATTTGCCGGCTTAATGACTCTGATCTGAATCCTCTTGGCCTTATCAAACATAAGGTTTAGTACTACACGCTACCAATCGCAGCTGTGGAGACATTGCTATCTCTTTGTAGGACACTGATTTAAATTATTCTTAAACTATGAATTTTTTTTTATGCTGTGTATGTCATTTATGTAATGTAATGTCTTGTCTTTCATCTGGACCCTGAGTCTGTAATAAAGTTTTGATTGATTGATTGTATTACCTTTTCAGTTATAGATTTGTATTGATTTTGTCCTTCATTAAAATGCCAACTCACCACAGCATCGATGTCTCGGGGACTGACGTACTGCGATAACTCCTTGTATTCGTCCGGAGACATCGGCATCATCTTGTCGTGCAGTTTGGACGGATGTCTGCACAGGAGAACGAGGACAGAGACTTAGTATTTCATCTGTTAATAATTCAATAAATCATGTTGTTGTTTTTAACACTGCTTACACTTCTGAGATAGATATGAGCTCCGTCTTCATGTAGTCGCTCTTCGGTGGACAGTTCTCCACGTCCATGGGCTCTGCAGCTGGAAGGCAGTAACACACAGATTAAAACGTGTGAAAAGGGAAAGAAAATGGGTTCAGAAATGCACGAGTGCTCCAGCTTTAGTCAGCACTTGGCTCCAGGTGTTCAGTCGTGCAAAGAGAAGTTAAAGAAATAGGCTTTAGTGACTTCTTACCCTCCGTGGGTTTGGGGTAGTACTTCCCGAAGGCCTTGTCTTTGGGGATGTTCGGGTAGAGGAAGCGCAGCGGGTTTTCCGGGATGTTCTCGGCGGCCATTACTTTGTACGTTCGGATGATATCGGACAGGGAGACGGCCGACAGCTCCTTCTTCGTGTACGGCTCCACCGAGTGGAAGAGCGGCTTGTCTGCGTTCAGAAACACGGACCATGAGGGAGAAGCTAACATTTCATTTTGTGTTACGTTCATGGTAAGCACAACTTAATGTATAACAATTATTTATAAAGCATGTCTCTATGAACACACCGTACCCGAAAAGGAGCAGGGAGAAGAAGATAATCTTATATTACCGCCCCCTTTCTCAAAATCATAACAGTGTCGTAGGAAAATAAGAGAAACACAAAAACATACTTAGTTCCCACTTGTGTGTGTGTGTGTGTGTGTGTGTGTGTGTGTGTGTGTGTGTGTGTGTGTGTGTGTGTGTGTGTGTGTGTGTGTGTGTGTGTGTGTGTGTGTGTGTGTGTGTGTGTGTGTGTGTGTGTGTGTGTGTAGGTTTTGTTCAAGCGGGGAAGAGCCTGATGACAGTTAAGCATCGGGTGCAACTCCTAGGATAGCCTTGTAACCATGGAAACGTGCATGTGCGCAGCGAAGTGGTTAGAGACGGCGCGTAGAGGTCAGTCTGCTAATTATCAGACTGATTATAATGGATAAGTAATTGAGAAGGAGACGAAGACTAAGGAATAAAGGGATGGTGTAAGAGCCACTTCAGCACATATCACATGTTATAGGAGTTATCATATTATTCAAGTGTAGGCAGAATAATAAATGCAGCATCTTTATCAGCAATTCACACGACAGAAGCACTTTGTCTTTATCCTACAGTATCACTGTCAGGGAGCATGTCAGTTTTAAAGCACGGAGACTGAGAGGAGTGAAGAGCGATTATGAGGAGTGATAATTGTATGGCAGTGCTGTTTGATCCCTCATCCCTGGGTCTGCTCAGGAAAGTGAAGGCAGGTACGAAAGGATTACACACAAGTGTCAGTCCTAATTTGGGCCTACCCTCCTCAGTATGCTCCCCTGGCGTGTGATATAAACCTCTCTAGATGTTCAGTGACCCCTCTCCTCCAGTCCCTTCACTCCTCTCTTTCCCTGAGGCCAAACACCTGCAGCTAGCCGCGCTCTGTTCCCTCACAGCAGTGTTTCTTTCTTTCAGCTACGAAGTCATGACATTCAGCTGTATAGGACACGTTTGCAATGTTGTCATCCGAACATAAAATCTGCTCTATAGATGCTCTGATGGGAGTGTACCTGGGAGCTGCTCATCTCCAGACTCTGGATCAGGCGGTCCCAGCGCTGGGCGAAGCTGTCCAGTCGGGCCTCCAGTTTGCTGGCCACCTCCTTGTTCTTGACGCTGGACAGCAGATCCTGACTCATGGAGCACAGCTTGTCCATGGTGGGGCGCTTCACCTCCAGTTCTGCCTTCACCGTCTGGTGGGACATACACAAACACAGGGTGGGGTTTAAGCGTTCCTGGTGTTTGTACAGCTACGTGAAAGTGTTAGTGGTTTTGGTACAGGGAGACTCACAGTGAGGCGGCGGATGCAGGCCGTCATCTCCGCCTGGTCCTTCAGGTTGGTGGTCTTGATAGAGCGAACATGCTCCTCCTTCTGAGTCAGCCAGGAGTCAAACAGAGACTGAGAGGAGAGGAGAGGAAGAAGGAGAGGACAAAAGATGAAAAATACAAAAATATCTGATATATCAGATACATTGATAAAGAAATGTGTATTTGATTCCTGTATAAGTAGAGCTGTTATCAAAGCAGTACATTTAAGCACAAATAAATCCAGCAACCACAAATAATGCCTATGACTCGACGGGCAGCAAAGCAAATCCAGTTTTGTGTTTAATTAAAGCTGATCAGCTTATCTTGTATAATCCAATGTTTTTATTTTAGCTCCCTCCATTATTAATAACAGAATATGAGCAAGTCGGATATCAAGACACTTTCAATTTCCTTCACAACGTATGCTGTGGCTAAAAATATAAAAAGGCAAATAAAGCAGAGAGAAAATATGATGACGTGAAAGTAATCAAAAACAGTGGCTAATTCATAATTCTTATCAAAGGACAGGATGGAAGTTTTAATTTAGTTCTAGGATCTGCATGAGTAAAATACTTGTTATTGCAGTGTGAAAGCGATGTAACTGGGTCAGCCTCATGTGGCTTGCATTGTGATCACATCGATGATGGTTTAAAAGTAATCAATACAGTATAACGACATTCTCCACCAGCAAGTTGCGAGATCAACTCACGTCCCTTTCCTGCAAGCTTAAGCAAATCAAATAGAAGCAGCAGCAGCTATAATGAATGAAGCCTCCAAGGCCCCGATGATTATTTGCATATTTACATTTGCTCACAATTCATGCAGAACTCATATCAAAAGAACTATTAAGCTTGTGAAAAGCAAGTGTCAATGAAGTTCAAGAGGGCTGACCCCATGGTATTGAAGTCCAATTCAAATGCAAAATATGCCAAAGATAACAAATGGCATATCACAAATCCACGGTGGTTTGTCAAATCGTCTGAAAACTAACTTCATCTTCAAAAAGCTTTGTTTTGTGTTTTAAGATTGAATCTGAAGTAAATTCCCAAACTTTTTGAGACTATCCGTCCCTTGGGGGCGGGAGTGGTTCGGTCTGTAGGGGATTGGGCTTTGGACCGAAGGGTTGCCTGTTCACGTCCCGATCGGACCAAAAAATACGTAGTGTGGACTGGTACTGGAGAGGAGCCAGTTCACCTCCTGGGCCACTGCCGAAGTGCCCTTGAGCAAGGCACCCAACTGCTCACTGCTGCCGGCTAGACTGGCTGCCTCCGCTCTGACCTCTCAACTGCATGTGCATGTGTGCATATAACTGTGTGTGCATTTGTATATGTATGTGCATGTTGTAAAAAGTGTGTACTGTATGACCTGTATAAAACGTGTGTGTGTGTACGACAGAGTGGAAACTGAATTTCGAATAATAAAATAAAGGTACATCTTCTTCTTCTGAATATGAAGTCTGTTTTAGCTTAATATTTCTCATAAAGACTGCCAAATATGGAAGTAGACCAATCTGGAGGATCTTACCTCATTATACATGCAGAAAACTCTGCTGTGATATTTCCTCACACACACTCATACCTGTTCATTAGTGAAGTGCTGCCATTTCAGTAGAATCTCCTGAAGCAGGATCCAGCGTTCTTCTGTCCATCTGCAAATGGAGGCCCAGCGGTCACCTAGCACCTACACACACACACACACACACACACACACACACACACACACACACACACACACACACACACACACACACACACACACACACACACACACACACACACACACACACACACACACACACACACACACACACACACACACACACACACACACACACACACACACACACACACACACACACACACACACACACACACACACACACACACTAAACTACTAACTAACTACACTAACTAACTACTAACTAACGAACTAC